CTGAACGCCACTTTGCCGGCTTTCACCACTAACTAACACAGTTCAATTTGGTAGCTTGAGCGCCGCTAATCTGTCATCCAGCGTGCACATTCACAAGTGCTTGTGCATGCGCTCTGATGCACAACTGGCATGTACACAGTAATTAGCTGCACCTGCACTTCCCACCTCCTCCTGTGGGCTGCCCACTCTGAAGCCTGCGTCTGCCAACTCACAGCAGAGCTGAATCACATTTGCATCAGAAATCACTGAACACGTTCGGCTACTGTCGCCTGTTTCCAGCTACTGCAGCAGCAACGGCGCAGTCAGCTTTGCTCCATTTTTTTTCCTAACCCACCATTCCCCGCTGCACTCTCCCTTTTTTTTTCCTATTTACTCATTTTGACCTATTTTCCCACTAACCCACTAAGTCTCTGAGCCTGCACTGCTGTATGCACTCCCCATAAAACCAGCAGTCTCCAGTGACGATTGTGGCACTGTCTCAACTGTGTCTTCTACAAATATTAGTTCAGTATTTGTGGTAGTAATGGGAAAATGGTGTGTATTTTTATAGTACAGCTATTCAGCATTGACTTTTGAAACATATGTTAATATATATATATATACCTTATACAGTATATGTGTGTGTAAATATATATGTATGTATATACATTTACATCTACACATATATAGGTATATGGATAAACATATATAAATACATATATATATACAAATATATATATATATGTGTATTCATATATAATAGGCAATTTTAACCAGGTTGTTTTTGTTTTTGCAAAAGGTGGACCCACAATACCAGCAACCACTACTATTGAGGTGGACACCATACCAGGTGAGAAACAACCATTTAAACATAACATCAATGGAAGGTGACCTTTTGACCTTATGTGCAGCAGCCAGTGGTTTTAGTCTCTCTGAAAGGGGAGAAACATGACAACTTCACTTACCGGACGAAGAAAATGCATTATTCTTTATTTAATACACTACTTTTTTCCACATCTTGCTACTGCAGTGTCTTTATGATACTGAACTGAGAGAAATCACATAGGGGACACCAGATGTATCTGTTTCCACTTGTTTACATCAAAGCTTCCACATCTGGGTCCTGAACCTTAACTTGCAAAAATCATTTCCACAACCTTGAAATATGGATTCAATAAGTCGTCGTTATGAGAGGAGGAAAAGAAATCCTACATTTGGAATTGATTCTCGTGCAATTATCAAGAAGCATTCCTCCGTTAATGAGTGCCAGCTCTCCTCTCTGATGTGTGTCGGTTATTAAAGCTGATGATATGGCCCTGAGAAGCTCCTGCTGACAGGGTGAGAGTGTGTGATGCAGGGCAAGCTGATGATTAGCACTGGGGCTCCGCTGCTGCCTTCTCAGCATAATCACTAATCACTGGTCCGACTCTCTCACACACACACACACACACACACACGCACTCAGGAAGGCACAATGCAAATGACCACAGGAAATTAAGTGTGCTTAAAGCCCCTGTGCACTTTCTCACTCACACATACATATACACACACACACACACACACTGCAGTTTGGAGGCAGGTTGTGGAGGCAGCAGCCAGTTGAAAGGCTGAGCCCTAGTCTGGTCTTGGCTAATGGTCCGTAGCCCCCCCCCCCCCCCCCCCNACTCCGTCAGCCAGTTCAGTGGTCTGTCTGCAGTCTGATGGAGCAAAAGCTGTGATAATAGATGAGAGCTGGGTTGCAGGTGTGTGTGTGCGTGAGTGGAGTTCTGCAAAAAGTTGTGGGAAAGAAAAAAGTTCAGTTAAAAAAAATGGCATCACAGCTCAGAAAAGTCACAACAATGAAGTCTAAGTTAAAGGTCACACCGTCTGGTTTGATGTATTTGTAAATCTTGGTAAAGGTGCATTCCAAAAACCCCGATCTCACAGGTAGATCCCATGTGACTCATGGGTTCTGCTCATATTATCTAGGGCCGGTGGGTCGCCTCAGTCAAAGCCTCCCAGGAACAGAGGAGAGAAAGAGGTCACCACCGTTTTAATTGGAAAAGACTCTCAGAGTGAACAGAGCAGCTTGGTGTCTGAAATCCAGCTCCATGCGGGGGTTTTTTTTTTCCCCTTTGTGTTAAACGGGTAAATAGACCCGCCATCTGTAGTGACTAGTTTCCATTATTAAAGAGAATATTGGCTTATCATCACTGTGCCTCTGGAGGCGTCTCATGCTGAGGTTTAAGGCCGTGGCTTACATTACAAACATCTTTCTCTCTTGTGTTCTCTGGAAGTCTACTCCGAAGGCTTCAAAGCTTCCACATTTTCCCTTTCCTCTGCAGAGGAGTCGTCAGTGCAGCGTCTGTCTTTTGGGGATTGCAGTGTTGGAATGGGGCCCTGTAACTGTTACCATCGGCATTTAAAACTAGACTAGTCCCTTCTCTTATTAAAATCCCCAATTCCTGTGGGTTGCCGTGATTTTTTTTTTTTTCCTTTTTTGACTGTTGTTGGTGCTTTTCTTCATCTCAATAGTCTAGTTCTTAATGTTTTTTTCTTATCTTTAATGCTGTTTCCTGTTAATACGCTGCAGGAGTTATTCCACAGTCTGTGCTGCCCTCTACTGGTCATAGTAAAGAACTGGCTCTGCAGTCAAGTTTTTTTTTAGATGTAGAAAAAGAGATAATAACATTTCTCATAACATAAACTTTCTTTCTCTGCTTCTCTTCGTAGCTTTCCTGTGGTTTGCCTGTGACTTTGGCTGGGCCAGTGACCCATCCTTCTGCAGCTGGACATCAGAAGACACTGGCTCCCGGTGGCAGATCCAGTCCAGCGGCACCCCAACACTCAACACTGGACCCAACATGGATCACACAGGTGATTGTTGGTCCACCTAACTTCTACTACTATCCTTAGAGTCCTTGGTTTTTTCTCACTAATTCGCACATGTATTTTGTGCAACAGGTGGATCGGGGAACTTCATCTACACTTTGGCCACTGGTTCTCAAGAGTCGGAGGTGGCCCGGCTCATCAGCCCCGTGGTCAGCTCCCCGGACTCGGATCTGTGCGTGTCCTTTTGGTACCACATGTTTGGTTCACACATCGGGACGCTGCATATAAAGCAGCGCAAACAGACAGTTGACGGACCGGCAGACATCCTGCTGTGGACAGTGAGTGGACATCAGGGCAATCGCTGGAGAGAAGGACGGGTCGTCGTACCACGGACTAACAAACCCTACCAGGTATAGTACAGTTTTAGTGGAGAGTTCCACCTGTTCTGCTGTCACAAGCTGCTCAGTTTTCTATTGTGTGGATGAAAGAAAATAAAAACTCAAAAAGGATGAAAAGTAATTTTCTGCTGTTTTTTAAGGTGGTGATTGAAGGTCTTGTGGAAACAAAGAGTTGGGGAGACATCGCTGTGGATGACATTAAGGTTCTGGACGGGCTCGGCGTAACAGACTGTAAAGGTGAGGATTTTTTTTTGCTTGTTTTGCAGGAAGAATTCCCGTGTTCAGATCCTGCTGTGAAATTGGATTCTCCACCTTCCACTGCAGGCTTGTCGGAAACTGTGTTACTGTGTGTAACTGCATTGATTTGTCATGTCTTTGGAACAGATCCTGATGTACCCACGGAGCCCATGTTACCGGAGGACAGGATTAATAAAATCCGTAAGTCACCTAAAAATAAAATTGTTACACATCTGATTATGGGGATTAACATTACCTATTACATTTGTCTGGGACTTTATTTTTTCTCAAAAGGAGCAATGTTAATAAATATCAAACGTAGAGACATTATTTTAATTTTCATGTTATTTTATACTTTAAGTATTTGAATATACCTCACTTATAGTATATGAATACTGAAGTATTTGTTAAGGAACATGGCATGTCCTGTGTTGTTTCAGTTATTTCTGCTGGGACTGCTGTGCAGCATATTAAGTGATTTATTGACAAAATGTTAGGACATGTTGATCATATGGTTGGGGCGTTACTCATTTCAAAATAAGAGCACGTATTTCAAAATAAATGTAAAAAATGGCTACAATTACAAATCGTGTTTTCGCAGTGTTCCACGGTTTTTAGTGGCATGGTTGTTCACGTAGGATACATTTGTTTGCACGTCTCCGTAGCAGCAGGTCGTTCAGACTAATTCGGCCTTTTTACATTACTATCGCCGTTTGTTCGTCCCCTGCAGTTGAAGACATCACGGAATATCCAGTGTTTGTGGAGACCAATCAAATCAGCGGGGCAGGCAACATGCTGAAGACGCTCGACCCCATCCTCATCACCATCATTGCCATGTCGGCACTGGGCGTTTTCCTGGGCGCCATCTGCGGCGTAGTGTTGTACTGTGCCTGCTCACACGGCAGCATGTCGGACAGGAACTTATCAGCCCTGGAGAACTATAACTTTGAACTAGTGGACGGCGTCAAGATAAAGAAGGACAAACTGAACGTACAGAACTCGTACTCGGAGGCTTGAGATGGGACTTTAGGCTTCGGTGTGACTGTGTGACGTGCAGAGCTCACAGAGCGTGCACAAGACTGGCTGCGAGCGTCACCTCTCATGTGTGTGTATATGTGAGTAGGTAAGCTTGAAGGACTGCCAACACCCTCATCCTGCTGGACGAGGGACATGTTCAGGATCCAATGGGGATGTTTGGACTGATCCGTGCTTTTCTCAGGAGCTGCAGTAAAAAAAAGAACCTACTAGTAGGGGACACTGTGTACAAATAAATGACAGGAAAAAATGATGTACAGATGATTAAGATGATATTTTAATTTTTCTATTTTGTTTTTCATTCATTTTTACAATCGGATGCTGGTGTTGAGACCAATTAATAATGTTTAAAGTATTTATCATTTTGTGGGAAAAAAAGAAAAAAAAAGTTTCATCATCAGTTTGTGAAGTCTGTTGTATATTTTCAACTTTTTGAGAGAGACGTAAAAGTCAGAATCGTTAGATGAACCATTGTTGGCAAAACTGTAGATTTGCCCTGTGGTGTGGCAGAACAGGGTGGGTCCATAGGACCCTGACGTGTTGTTACTTTTTCATCTTTGACTCTGATCACTCTAAAGTGAGGGTTCTATTCATGGCAATGTACGGATCTACCAGTGCCTTTAGTACATTTCTGTTGGTCTCCTCTGTTGACCTTTCGTTACTGTATGTGGTTTAAGTTATGACTCTAGGAAACAGGGGCACGTTGTGTTCTACTAAACAGGATAACAATCTATCACAGCGCTTTATTTCGTTTATCGTTGTCGTATTATTTTTTTTTTGTCCAAAAAACACACACTGTAAATAAGTTTTTAATATATTTTATTGCCCTTTTTAATCAAAGTAAAAAGGTAAAAAAAAAAAAAAGCTGCGGTATCCCTTTTTTTTCAGGTGTTTCGTCTGCGTGTGTGTAAATACAATCTTCTGACTGTTTCTGTGGAAGGTGCAGTGTTGTGTTTTAGTTGACTATTATTGTTACTGTTATTATTATTGCTATTATTTTCATTTCAATTGCTCACTCGGGCAGACGTTTGTGTGACGCTGATGTTACGGCAGCTTCAACGTGCATTCAAGCCATGTGTCATCGAAGGCTGCTCGACAAAAGAAAAAAAAATACCACAAAATTTGAAATCTCACATTTTAATATGATATATTACATGTTGACGGCACAGGAGCTGGCTAATTCGGAGCTGTTCACCAGCGTACCAAAACAAAGACCTCCTACAATCATTGTTGGGTTTTTTTGCTTTAGCTAAGACGTAGACTAACTCATCTCCTCAGACATCACTGTGGATTGTTCTCTGAAGGAGTGCTCTCTGGACAATGCAGCTTGAATGCACTTTGTTTCTGATTCTCTTGCGATAGTAGCCCCTTTAAAGTGGCGGCCGCTACATAAAACTGAAGAATGGTGCTATTCATTACTTTGAGGCAGACGCTCGTGTCTCACATTGAACCCACTTTGTATTGTTCACTTCATAATCTACTGTAGCTTCTAAAAATTCACAGTGGGGCTGCAAAAATTGTTTGGGTTTTTTTTTTTTTTTTTCTCGCTCTCTCTTTCCATGATGTTTTTGCGTTTCACTAGTAGCAGCCATAACATTGTGATGTCACAGCTGATGTCTTTGAGGATGGTTCACGTTTGATTCAGCTGATAATGGAATGGCAGGTGACCTGATTTCCTCCCATTGGGGCTTTTACCAAAGGATTGTTGTCTTGTTCGCTGTGAGGTACAAACACAACTGATCAACGGGAGTGACTTTTACAGCCTCCGTAAAAAAAACAACATTTTTTAAGGGGTGTACAGTGAACCTTACAATGGGGCAGGACTTTGGTGTGGACTGTTGGCATCAGGACACGAGAGGCCCATGAGAACTGGAACTTGGCGTTTCATGCCGTGCCACAATCAAACAATCAAAACTGACCACGGGAGGAGGGTGACGTCGCTCACTGTGTGCATCGTGCGTGTGTGTATATGTGCTTCTGTGTTGGACACGTTCATTTCAGAGTCACCGTTAGTCCCCGATCTCTGCTCTACAAGACTGTAGCTCCAGTGACGTGATGCTGAACTAGAGAACAAGGATACTGTAGGGAGGGCTACACAGAAACAATGTTGCACTGATAAATATATTCAAGAGGTTTATGTGTTTATAGCATTCATTTTCAGAAAAGAAAAAAAACAAAAACGAAAGAAATGTTTAAAAACTGTTCATTTTTTTCATCTTTATAAATATATAAATATATAGTTTCAGATTATGTGACATAATTCTGAAATGTAAAGATATTGAGATGTTTTCATTATTGAAAAAGGCATAATAGATTTTCTGACAGTTATGTACCTGCCCCCCAAACCCCATTTATGTGGCATATTAACGCTTCATTTTGTACTGTCATTCGAATTTTGTGCAGATTTTTTCTTTTTTTTTTTTACCAGACAACAGAAAAAAAAGACTTTTATTTTCAATACTGCTTCTGTAATTTGCTGTTGTAGGGGAAAATGAATAAACAGCAAGGCCTTAAAAAGGTAAGAAAACATTTGTTGTGATTTGTTGTCAAAAATTCCAACTTCACAATTGTCTTTTGTTTGCACTGGGATCATCGTCACGGGGATTAAACGGCAGCACCAGAGATCTTTAAACAAATAATAATAATATTTAAAATAACGTTATTTTATTTAAAAAAGCGATTTATTTATATGATTGCAGGACAAGAAATCACTTCAAACTTTTCATTCCTGAATGTTTGGATCATCAGGTATGCTGTGGAATATTAGCCAATTTTACTTAATTGTACTGAATATTATTACTTATAAACTGCAGTTTCCTTTGTGTGACTAGCAAAACAATTCAGTTCTCTTCCTCTAGGTGGCAGCAGGTGGATAGAAAAAGAGCTCATCCTGTGTCTTTCTTCTATTCCTGCGAGTATATCTGCGTTGCATTCAACTTAACGGACCCACTGAGTAAGTCAATTGTGAGTAAAATGAAACTTATATTTTATTGCGTCACAGGGTGGAGGGCGGTACTGACCACAAATGATAAGCTGGTGTGGGCTGTGCACTCGGCTGCTTCAAGGCTGGCCTGTCATTAGGGTGAAGTTGGACTTTTCATTTTCATTTTTATCTCACACACAAGTCCCCGTCGTAAACATGGAAACATGTTTTTGGAAGGACCACAAACCCCCAGTAAAACTGATTTATTTATACAGTGGTTTATTAAAACTGGAGCCCCAAGTGTGAGACAGATTATCAGCGTTATTATTAATGTCATTCGTCTTGAAACGTTCTCTCATCTCGGATGAATAGAGACGATGCCTAGTGTCATAAACAAGTCAATTAAACGCACAGTATAATTCATCTGCGCATCCTTCACCCTCGCCTTATCCCTTTTATTTCTCTTTAAAACGCTCCAATCAATAACTCCGCATTACAATGCTTTGCTTTAATAGATTGATCAGTCAACCACGACAGAGTCGTTAATCATGTATTTGTTTTGTTTAAATCATACAAAGCTGCTATAAACATAAATAACACGCGTTAATGTAGCGTTGTTTTAAATGAACTGCTCAGCGCATAAGAAGCTCCGAACTGTTTTCACTTAGTGGTGATAATTTTTAATAAATCACCTTTTATCAACACTAATGGAAAATGGTTGCTAATGGTTTACTTATGGATGATAATTTATTTACTAAGGCTTTAGTAGTAATTACAGGGCTGGTGGTTGGTTGTGATTGGCTACAATCCCTCGTCCAACCCAATTAATGATAGTTACATCTGCATTTCTACCGCACCTATTTTGGGCTGCAGAGTAAATCCTTGTTCTCTGCTTTTTTTCTTCTAATGAAGCATGGTAGTATTTGCCAACATATTGTAACCGTTAAACAATGTCTCATTGTAAGTCAGTTGGACTCACATTTTAACACAGAAGGACAACATAGGTTTCTTAGTGTTTCTCATTAATATAAAATTTTATGACTGTTTCATTCTGGTACTCATAATATTCACTTTCTAGGCAATGCAAACGCTCCATCAGATAATGGCTATTTAAATCACCTGAAAACAGTTGTAAACAATGTAATTTACTCTCTAATATTGCTGTTATTTATTGCCATATTAAAATTTAACCTGTTTAAAAGCCTACAGCTGTTAGATATTTTTAAAAAGGACAACTAAAAGACATGTGTAGTCTTTCGTTGTTGCCACAAGGGGGCTAAACCAGATTGAGGACAATAAATATTCCATGGAACGAAAATGTTTAAAGCCAAAAGGAAAACTGTTGATTTAAACAAGTCATTATTTAAAATTTTTCCTATTACATGTATCTATGATTCAATCTAACAGAAAGAACTTTTTTTTTACCAATTTCTATGCATGTTTTATGTTTTACTGAAGACATCTGAACATCCTAAGGCTTCCTGAGGTAATTTCCTAAACTTATCTCAACGTAAATTTGAAAATGATTGCAGTCTGTTTCAATGTTATCATGTTTATGTCTGTTAAAAAAGGCAACACAAATTCCATGGACAATTTAGAAGCTGTATACTGTGTTGGATAATCAGGAAAAAAAGAGGAAAGAAATCGTCTTAAATGCAATAACCAAAACTAGCCACGGAGAGGCACTAGAGTTCTAAAAGTACCGAGATCACCGTCCACTGTGTTTTATGTTGAACTACTGTACAAGTCTATTTTTAACGAGTTACTCCAATGGAAATAATGTCCAACATTATTATCTGTTAAAGTATCGTTGCTGGTTCACATGCAGTGTCCACCTATATAAGCAGATTTTTACATTTATAATATGTTTAACTATAATGTTTTCTGTACGTGTTTCTCAGAGGTTTCATCTGCATTTTTCCAGAACATTTGAGTTGCAAACATTTACCATTGAACCTAATTTCAAAGTACGAGATATTCAGAGTTAATCCAGAGATAAGATATTCAGTGGGAGGGGGTGTACAGTACAGTACATCCGGCCAGACTTTACATCTGCTTCACACACACAGAGCTCCATGTTTGTATTCAATTAGTTTATTGAATTTAAAGAATGAACAAAGTCATAAATTATTGTTCTCTGAAATTAAACTATCACGTTTTTTTTAATCCAAAAGATTATTTATATCTGTGGATATCTCTGTTTTCAATGTTTGAAAGCTAACTGTTATGCAGAAAAAAAATGAAGCAAAGAGAGGAGAGGCTGTAATAACAGTGTGCCATCCATTTGTCCACCCAAGTGTTTGAACTTCTCACCCATGTGTAAGAGCCAGATATGTAGCACAGGGTCACTTCCCCCTGGAGACTAAACAGGATCCAAAGGCCTTCCGGGCCCAATAGTTTGTTTTCGCCTCACATTTTTCCCACTGCACTGAGTGGTGTAGAGAAAAAGAAAGAGAAAGAATGTTTGATAGAGTCTGGATCTTCTTTTTTCCCTGTTAGGGTTCTTCTCTTCGTAACATTGCTATTGTTGTAATTTTTTATTTTAATTACATTTTAATGATAATGTAAACTTATTATCATCCGTATTACCTGATTTGTTTTGTTTTTAAGTTTAAGACAACGGATGTGTCTTTTATTGTGAAGGAAATCACGGGAAATCACATTGCTACGTTGCGTGGACGTTGACTAAAAGGTCGGGGGTGGAGGAGCAGTGCGGGTCTGTGGCTGGGTTTTTTTCCCGACTGCGTGCAGGAAGAAAGGAGAAACCTCGCTCCTGTTATCGGGACGTGGTTTTGCCTTCAGTTGCCGAGGTTTTTCCACGTTTTGCTTCAGCGTTTAGTTTGTGTTTCTCTCGCCGTGGTTTGGGTTTGAGGAGCATAAATAACGGGAGAACGCTACTGTGACTTTCTGTCGGGGGGGACAAGTGGCCGCCGGTGCCAGCGGGGCAGAGAGGAGAGGAGAGGAGAGAGGAGCTGCTGTGGGACAGCGGCTCATCCCTGCAGCTGCCCACGGACACCGAGCTGCTTCTGAATGTTGCTTCAAATTTAACAACAAAAACAAACAAACAGCGCCAAGGTAAAAACATTCTGCTTCTATGTTGTTGTTTTATGCGCTTGTTGATCAATATTTACCTTTGCTGTGATGACGTTAAAAACCGTGCACAGGATATTAAGTGGTTTTCTGTTCGTTCTCCCACTGCATCGGTTAATGTTTGGTCTGTATTTTAAAATTAAACATGATATGATTTAAACTCAACATTTCCATAACAAATAACCTAAATCTATGATGTTTGTAAATCTGAAAATGTTCTCATAATTATGCTACAAGAAACTAATCATTGCAGCTAGTATTTTTGGAAAACAATTCCAACATTGTTTGATAATACAAATGACTGTTTTATTAGTACTTTCCCTAGTTTTCAGTGTGTTGTTTTTGACACCATGAATAGCCTGTGATTTAACTTGTTGCTCTTGGTTGAATAGACCTTTCAGTGAGATCGTAGGCTGCCTGGGTGTAGCTGTGGCTCACTGTGTTGTGAAAAAAAAAGAAAAGCTAATGAGAGTAGGGTGGGGTACAGGGGGGTTGGGTGGCACTGTAGCATCACTTTAAAATAATTTGTGCTGTCAATGTAATGTATTGGGAAACATGGTTCTCCTCCCCCTGCCTCCATCCATCATCCAACAGGCTGATGATGCAGCTCTGTGCCTTTAATTTGAATCGTCATTTGACAAGGCCTGGCCATAGATCTCACATGATCTATTTTAAACTCCCCCTGTCCACATGTGAGGGTAGCACCATGGAGAGGAGAGGTTACAAGTTTAGAAGTGCTAAAAGGAAAAACATCGTCCAGAGACTACACAGTAAAAGTATTTCATTCTGTAGTAGTTCTGAGAAGGAAGCAAGAACAAAACACATACATCAGGAATCCGAATAGTCTGAGAAGGAGAAGAACAAAACACATACATCAGGAATCCCAATACTAAATGACCCTCAATGGGAATATTGTAGAAATCCCTAGAGTTGGAATAATAAAATTGAATTTCCACTGTAAAAATGACTGTAGACCTATTTACCAATAGAAGAAAATAATTCAGAAATCACATCTCCACATATTTGATTCCACCACAAAGGTTGTGTAAATGCTGTACGTGTGCACTGATGAGGAAACCACAGCATTCCTCAGTTCCTCACATATTGCTGATGTTCCTGCCTAGAGAAATCTGTGGTGTAATTTGTAATTAACACAAGGAAAGCAGCCACAAACTGCGTTTTCATCAGATACTCTTGGCCTTATTTCCTTTACGTCAGCTACACTTCCCTATCTCTCTAACGTGACCTCCAACTCTGTGAACATACATGATTACAATCCAGAAATTCTTGTGAGTCACATCTGTTTTTCCCAGCAGAGATCACAGTTTTTGACCAGATACGTTTCCAAACGTAATACTGCAAAAAGTAGTATATTTATTATTAACTCTCAGTATTAGTATTTTTTTCTATTTTTTCAATAAATAGACATCTAAATCCATGTCCGACAAATGGAAATACTTCAGTAATTATTTATAGGATTAGAAAAAATGTAAGTGATAACCTTCATAGCAGTGCAGCACTATACGAATGATTCAACCAAAAAGTCACCAAAGCAACAAATGCACTAGTTTAAAAAGTACATTGAATGTAACATAAAATATTTTTTAGGGTTTTCTTAAAAGATTACAACAAAAATGTTTCTTCTACGCGCTGTAGTTGTATTTGCAATAAAGATTTTATGCTGTTAGGAGCCGGCTGCTTTCGAACACATGCGCAGTCCATGTCTGAAAAGCTGTTATGGATTCATTGATTCGATCAAGCTCAGTCTGCTCGCCCGCACCCACCTTCTAGCATATTTGAAGGAGAGTTGGAGGATGAAGGCCTCATAAATTCAGCTGATGGAGCAGATTCCTCTCTGAGACCAGGAGGCCCAGGCTTGAATTTAATCAGTGTAATGTAGGCAGGAAGGGCAGTGAGGACTGAGGGAGCTAGGGGATGTCAGAAGGAGGCAAAAAGAGGTGACTGGAAGGGTAATATGAAGAAATGGGGGTCTGGGGGACACTTGAGGATCCACCCTTACAGGATGAGGGTGGATATAGGACATGTGGATGTCAGGGGGGGAGTGGGGGCAGTAGTGGAGCCTGTAGCCACCAGCTGAATGGATGTGACCCCCAGACCCCCTGGGAGCAGCTGTTGCTACTCCCACCTGATTTACGAGGCTACTTAATGCACGGGCGGGGCCCCACCCACTCTTTTCTCCGGCACATGTGACACTGCTGGTGTCCCCGTGTTTGTTTCTCTGTCTGCAGACGACAGGCACCTTATGTGTGAACTCGTCCCCTTCCGGCAGAAATGATGAATGTGCGCTCCTTTGTGTGGGTGTGGTCCTCTGGGAGGGATGTAATGTATAGATGTGATTGTCACCAATGTCACAGGCTTTGAGTCAGAGCGGAGGGGAACAGTCCAGCACAGAGGTGTAAATCAGGAGAAGTGATCACCTACTTACCTCTCTGTGACACACACAAACACTCAGATGATCCCTGCAGCTGCCCTACACGGAATCTGCTGTGTATTAAATCGGTCCCGAGCTCACTCAAGAGTTTTAAGCCTGTTTTCTGCACTGCTTTATAACTGCAGTCTCCTCATCTGTATTTGATTTTTGGCACATGCTTGTCTATTTTTACAGCTAGATTATTGGGTGGGCCATCTTCATGGTTTTTTGGTTTGTAACCTCTGTAGCTGCTTTTAGCTCAAGCCTTTACATTGGCTCTGCTTTTTCTTAACACATTTTACGCAGTCACATACAGTATAATCCTTGGCTTTTTTTGTTGCTTTTGTTTCTAAAAGAAGCTCCCCAGGGACCTTGGCAGTAGGATGGCAGGGTTAAATAAGACCCGTGCTCACTGGGGTCTGCTGAGAAATGAGGCTGAACGTGTTGTGTTGGCAGTAAACAGTGGCAGACGTCTGCAGTCAGTGAGTTCTGTTGCTATTGTGTTTGACTATTGCAACTGTGTGAGGGACAACCCAAGGCAGGAAGAAAATGTTTATGAGACTTTCAACTGCTACCACTGCAGTTAGTTTTGAGAAAACATGGCCTCCTTTCTTCAATACTGGTGTGATTTCACTTTATTTTAAAGACTTGTCATAACTGGTTAAGAAAGAGTTCATCATCCTAAATGGCCGAAATCTGTTTATGGCTTCATTTTGTAATCTATTAAATGCAAGCAACTTAACTATAATCATAACTGTCAATGGGTTTTGTCATTGTAGTTGTATTGTTATTGGTTGAAGTATTTACTGAGCGTCAGCCTCCATCCATGTGCCTGTAGTCGATGGCCTCCAGGCCAGAACTCTTGAGCCAGTACAATGCAAACACTGTTCCCTGTCTTTATGAATAGGCTTCACACTAATGTCAGAAGTCTTGTTAAGTGAGTCGCCAACAAACCACCAGTTCAGAGATGGAAACATTACATAGCAAACAGTTTCGATTCACAAAGGCAGGCATACATTAAAGTTACTCAAAATTTCAAGTTTCAAATTCCTGAAATTTCCAAAAAGGCTAACTCGGACTTCCAGTGTTCGCACCGGCACTTGATACAGAGTTTGCTGCACAGCGACCCTAGTTTCGATCCCGGCTTGTGTTCACACTGCAAAGTAATGCTTTTTACTTTTAACACGCAATACTTTCACAAATCCCACAGTCTTGAGTTTTGTGCATGATCATCTCCCACCGCCTGTGGTGGTTTTGACTAGCGTTTGTTCAAATGACTGATAAATCCGACCACTTTAATGGGGTGAGACTAATGTGGAGCTTGAATTAGAGGAGACACGTAATGTCATGTAAAACAAGCAGTTATATTTTGTTTTTACAATGAAAGTAGTTTGTACCAAGGTTCCCATAATAATTATAATACTTCAGCAGCTTGAAAAGCTTTCAACAGTGGCTCATGTATTGTAGTAGACTAATGAGTTCATCTGTACTGTATTCATCACCATCTGCACAGTAGGGTGAGACCATGCTTCATTCTTAATATTATATTCAAAGAATCAAATATGACAGATTTCCTTCCAACGTTCCCAGGAGAAAATGCATATATTCACAGATTGCTCCCTGTTAAGCTCTGCAGAGTTTTCACTGTGCAGTGCGAGCGGAAACAGAGGCCCTGTAGTTCAAGTGTCAAGTCTGGAGCCTAATGAAAGACATCTGAATGTCATTAATGTGCCAGTCTTCCAGCATCAGGGCCTCAGCAGCAGAACGTTCTACTGTAAATTTGTCCACAGCTCAGCCTGCTGCAGAGTTTTAATCCCATTTCACCAGGGGCTTCATTGGTCTGAGGACTGAAAAAAACTGTGTGGGATTTATTGTCCCAGTTCCACCCTCAGAGCTGACGTTGAGCTTCTGTTGGAAAGATCAGTCTTGCAGTGTTTGCTGCTGCAGCCTCCAGAAGCCCCTGCATAGATGTGGACTAAAGTTGAATGAAACCCTCGGCTTGTTTTGCTAGGTTCGATGTTTTTGTTTTTATTTTTGTCATTGTTCAAACACACTAATCTTATCACAGCTGTAAATCTTTGTTGAAGACTTCAAGCTGGGGTCATCCATCCTAACTGTTCCCGTCTCTGTCTATGGAGCTCCAGTCCCTCTGCTCTTATATTTGTAGTTTGTTCCAAGTGAAAGATCATTGACAGCTGCGTGTTAACTTCCACAGATGTTCTCCGTCTCTGTTGCTAGCATTGTCTGAAGCAGTTTGTGGATTTGTTTGGGTTATTGCAGAGCTTGGGTTTCTGTGATGCACTGGTTTACGTTTAGTCAACACTCACACACACTTAATTCACAGAGTCAATACGCTGCTGTTCTGGCAGCTCACGACATTTTCAGTTTTATCCAGTGCACTAGTCTAGACTCTTCTTTCAGTTGCTCGTTTGTTTCTTTTATCGCTGTGCGTTTCCTTCCCTTCTGGATTGAATGCCCAATATGTTATCTTTTGACTTCAAGAGAGAGATATGGCTGGATTCCAGAGACGGTGATGCATGAGGCTTCCTGTGTG